CTAACTGCTCAGAGAAGGAGGCTAACAGCTCAGAGGAGGCGGCTAACAGCTCAGAGGAGGAGGCTAACTGCTCAGAGGAGGAGGCTAACGGCTCAGAGGAGGAGGCTAACGGCTCAGAGGAGGAGGCTAACGGCTCAGAGGAGGAGGCTAAAGGCTCAGAGGAAGAGGCTAAAGGCTCAGAGGAAGAGGCTAAAGGCTCAGAGGAGGAGGCTCAAGGCTCAGAGGAGGAGGCTAAAGGCTCAGAGGAGGAGGCTAACAGCTCAGAGGAGGAGGCTAAAGGCTGAGAGGAGGCTAACAGCTCAGAGGAGGTGGCTAACTGCTCAGAGAAGGAGGCTAACGGCTCAGAGGAGGAGGCTAAAGGATCAGAGAAGGAGGCTAACTGCTCAGAGGAGGCGGCTAACTGCTCAGAGGAGGAGGCTAAGTGCTCAGAGGAGGAGGCTAACAGCTCAGAGGAGCCAGCTAACTGCTCAGAGGAGGAGGCTAACGGCTCAGAGGAGGCAAACAGCTCAGAGGAGGTGGCTAACTGCTCATAGAGTTCACAGTTCGAGGAACTCGTCTTAAGCGCAGAGGTGACAGGGCCTTCTCTGTAGCAGGACCAAGACTTTGGAACGAGTTACCTCTGCTTGTCAGACAGGCCCCTTCCCTCTCGGTTTTCATGTCCCGTTTAAAAACTCACTACTATTCAGCAGCTTTCAACACCAGATGATCTGTGTTTTGATCCTGTATGCTCCACACTGGTTTGTCGTCATTATCTGCATCGTTTTTATGTCTATATTCTGATTTACCTCATTTTGTATTTTGCTTTGTGTGTTACCTGTTGTTCTGTCTGTACAGCACTTTGGCTGGCCTTGTAGCTGTTTTAAGTGCTTTATAAATAAAGTGGTATGGTATGGCTCAGAGGAGGCGGCTAACTGCTCAAAGGAGGAGGCTAACGGCTCAGAGGACTGTTTAAACTCTAATCCCTGATGAAAATGTTTTACCTGCATGACAGGCATGAAAAGAATTATGAAGTCATAATCAGCAGCAGCTGTCAATCAATTTTGTAGAGCGAGATAACATACATGTTCAATAATCTAATAAAGAATTACCAACCGGTTTCCAAAAAAGTTGGGACACTAAACAAATTGTGAATAAAAACTAAATGCAATGATGTGGAGATGGCAAATGTCATCAATGACAGATCAAAAGTTTAATCTGAGTAAATGTAACATTTTAAAGGAAAAATATGTTGATTCAAAATTTCACAGTGTCAACAAATCCCAAAAAAGTTGGGACAAGTAGCAATAAGTGGCTGGAAAAAGGAAATTGAGCATATAACGAACAGCTGGAAGACCAATTAACACTAATTAGATCAATTGACAACATGATGGGTATAAAAAGAGCTTCTCAGAGTGTCAGTGTCTCTCAGAAGCCAAGATGGTAAGAGGATCACCAATTCCACCATTGTTGCACAGAAAGATAGTGCA